TCTTAATATTGTAATTTAAAAAATGTATAACTGATATTGTGTAACAGGAAGAAAAGGTCTAAAAGAGCAGGGCAATTGGGAGGGGTAGGGGAAGGGAAAAAGGGAAAGGAAAAAATATAAGAAGAGGAAAAAATGGAAACAAGGTCTTTGCAAATAGGGAAGGGTGGAGAGGGTGAAGGGAGGGCAAGAGAAGGGGGAAAAAAAAATAAGAACCAAGAGACTCATGTAATCGTACAAGATCCCAATGATGAATGTAACTGTATTTTATACCTAAAATGTACCAATAAAGTTAATGGGGAAAAAAAAAGATTGCAGCATATTCCCCTTCCTTTAAAGGTATATTTTTATAATGAAATTCTACTATTTAAATAATCTGAGATACACTGGTATCTATCTGGGTTTTTAAAAATCATCAAAATTATGTATATTTCTACTGCCTTACCATCTAAATTTGAGTGTCTTTTATGTTTAACATGCAAATTATATTCCCAGTTGTTTACCCCAGCTACCTAAAGAGATTCTCACTCATGATCTAGTTGCAAACATCAGAATCATTGCAGGAGGATAGAGCACTGAACTCGGAAAATCTCTGAAGCAATGGTAGAGACTGGAGCATGTTATCATGAAAATACATGTGAAAGTAACAAAAACTATGCTGTAGGACCGATACAAACTCAATGTTAATTTTCATTTTAATAAAATAAACAACATGAATTTTCATTTTTCAATCATAACAGTGATTTTATCACCTTCAGTGATAAAAGCAATATCCTAAGACAGAGGAGGGAATGCCAAGAAACCTATGTGGCTACTCTAGAGCAATAAAGTGAAATGTTTCTTGTCTCACAGATGGTTGTGAAATAAACTGGTGATGGTTATCAGATGGTGATTTTAGGTGTCTCTTTGCTAACTATTTCTTCACACATTAAAAGAAAAGAACACAATTACTATACAAGTTCATATAAAATACGAGAGTATATGACACATATGAACACAGGTCAAAATTCTGCAACCAGATTTAAAAGAACTTACCACAGTTCAGAGCTGTCTGACCACCCATGCCTAGAATTAGGCCATCAGGCCGTTCTGCCTTGATGACCTCTGTGACAAACTGAGGAGTGATGGGAAGAAAGTAGACAGTGTCTGCCTGCTTCAAGCCCACCTCATTGGTCTGAACTGAAGCAATGTTTGGGTTCATCAGGACAGTTTTGACATTTTCTTCCTGAAAGAAATCATATGATCAAGTATTTGAATATACAGTCTAAAGAAGAGAATGGCTACAATAGAATGAAGGGTTACAAAGTAAGAAGCTTTTGGGTTATTCTGAGGGCTCGCTTTAGAGATCAGTGAGAGGGCAAAGAAATGGAAATAAAATGAAGACAAGCATTTTCTCAAAGAAAGGAAGAAATTGTTTAGAAACAAACTATCAACAACAAAAAAACATGCCACACAACAATCACCATGAAGTCCTTGTCATTAAAGACATCAAGCAAAACTGGAGACCATTTCTATGAAATTTATCTGGAGGCCCACAAAGAGTGGACAAAAGAATAAAATATTCCAACACTTTTTAAATGAGTAAACACGAAATGAACCAGAGATAACATCAAAAGCTATGACCCCTTCTATTATTTGTCTGAGAACAACATTGAGTGAACATTTAAAATGTTGGACAATGTGTTCCCTTCTCACTAGAAGAACTGAGAGCTCTTTGCTGGCCCAATTTTTTCCTAAATATTCATTCCTACTGTACTACTTTAGCAAGGAGCACTGCTCAATTGTTCTGCATATTCTATAAAAAGAAAATAACCATATGGCAAAACATAAAAATATAAATTAGTGTTTATATTTTATCTTGAGACTTATGTCTCACGTGTGTGTGTGTGTGTGTGTGTGTGTGTGTGTGCCTGGTATGTGCAGGATGGCATTCATAGCATATGCCATTTCTACATCTAGAGAGACCTTAAAAAGAATTCTTCACTTAGGCCGCTAAGAATAATAGTTTTATAAAGCAAAATGAGGCTGACTCATGGCAAAATAATTATGAAATATGGTCAGATGGTTCCTATTATTTCACAAATTAGCAAGTCAATTTTAAATTTTTCTAAAAAGTCAACAAAATATTTAGATGAAAGGACAGAAATCATGCTTTCAAAGCCCTATATATCCTTGGAGGAAGAACTTAATAAAAATTAAACATAGTTTGTGCTGCTTTGTATTCAAGTAGTCCCTTAATGCATATGATACACTTTTTATTAACTTGATTGATCTTTATACTGACTATGAGAGAGAGTTCCACCTTTTAGATGAAAAAATTGAGATTCAATAAGGTTAAAGAGTTTGACAAAGGTCAAATAGCTGATAAATGGCAATATTAGGGCTCTAAACCAAGTGTTATGATTCAAATCCTGTGCTTTATCCTCAATATGAGTCATCTCAAGATTTTTTTAAAAACCTTTAGAATAAAAGTATTGTTGTTATTAACAAAGTGTTGAAAAGATACATACAGGTAAATAACTCCATTTGGAACATACATTGGAATTTAAATAATTGAATTACAACTGAAAACATCTTTAGCAGAAGTTATAGCAAGTCTCATTAAAGAGAAGTATCAAGAAATTTAAGTATATCTAAGTTTTTTTCTGAATGTGCTGTACAACAAATATGACTTTTTATAAATTATGCAGAAAGATCCCACTCATATCCATTTTTTTCCAGTACTGAAGATTGAACCCAAGACCTTCACACTGAGCTACATCCCCAGATATATTTTTTATTTTTTATATTGAGACTATGTCTCACAAAACTGCTAAATTCATCAGCTGGCCTTGATCATCCTGCCTCAGACTCCCAGCGTGCTGGGATTACAGGCCTGTACCACCATGCCCAGCAAGCCTCTGCTCATTTAAAAACTTATAATTTCAAATCATTTTAATTAATTTTACATTACTTTTTAATTTTTTCTAATTCTGGGTATAGAACGAGCACCATATAATTTTAGTAACATGTTTCGTTTATAAATTAAACTTTATTAGTCTCCTACTTAATTATAATACAATATCTAATAATTCATGCTGTCCAGTTAAAGATGGATATAAAATATAGAAGTACAAACTATGAAATATAAAATCTTTGTAAAATTCTCAAGTAGCATAAAATGTTAGGTTACCTTAAGGTATTTTAAATCCTGAACATACCTAGATTGGGTCCTAACCAATCTAAACCATTTGATACCCTTTAATTTGTATCTAATAAGAAATTCCATCATCAGACAATAAAGTAAGACATCATTCTGAAAATATCTACAAAAAAAGCACATGTATGTACAGCCAAGCATACATGGAGAAGAATATGAAAAAGAAGACAAACAGGAAGATGAATAAGGAAACTGGGGCTATGTTCTACTTCTTTTCTGTAGACATCTACTAGGGAAAATCTTTGACTATACAATATTTAAAAGAAAGAAAACTTCAGTCAACTTTTTTCCATACTGCTGTCTTTCTCTCCCGCTGCCAACTCCATGCTGCTCTTACCAGCCAGGTCTCTGGGGAATGCCTTTACTGGTCAAGCCCTGAGGCAAGGTCACTGGGTACTCACATTGCCTCTGGATGGCCTGATTAGCACCAAGATACAGACCATGGGGAAATAAGGATGTCAAAGAGAGGCCAGCTTACTTCTTCAACAGAAATACCTTAAACAACAACAGAATTCCTCTTAAGATTTATTTTATTACAATGACTGAGAAGATCTCAAGAAAGACAAGAAACAGAGACGGAATCCTTCACTTCAAATTCTCTTTCTCATTTGAAAATCCAGCTACCCCACATAGTTTTCCAAGTCACTAATAAGAAACTGGGCTCCCTAATGAGAGATAATAATTCTTAATGCTCAAAAAAAAACCCACTGCTGCCCTTGCTCTCCCAACTGGAGCTTCCCATTTCCTCCATAGAGATGTCTGAAGCATCCTCAGAGCGTGTGATGTACTTTAATCCACCAAAGATGCCCAAATTCCCTCTTTCACAGGAAAGATAAATATATTCTAAAAGCACACTGCCTCAAAAGGAATGAGCAGCATCTATAAATGTAGCTTTATATTTTTTCAATATGTGGTCAATAACTTAAATAATTTTGGAGTCCAATCTAACCTCTTAAATTGGTAGACATGCATATTTGAGAAAACGAAAACTCTTATGTGTGACCAAACTTCTCTTCATATAGATGTGAAAGAATAGTTAAGAAAAATAATGATAGTGACTTTGAAAAGAGGTACTGTCGTAAATCTAAATTATAAAACATTAATTAGACTCATTAAGGGGAATATATTAACTCTAGCAGAGCCCAAGTTCTCTCACCTTCATGGCTTTGACAGCTTGAGATCCCGAGTAATCAAATTCACCTGCCTGACCAATGGACAGACCTCCTGAGCCCAGGATGAGGACTTTGGAAACCTAGAGACAATAAGAAAAAGACAATGACTTTTGTTACTAAATGGTGGAAACAAGGCATTTTCAAGAGTATAGAAAATAAACTATATTGCCTGAGCTTATGTAGTAATTTCAAGTATGATGTTTTGAAAAACATAGACTATGTGGGGAAAAAGATTAACAATTTAAACATCTCTAATTTCACTGCACTTTCTGAAGCTCATGCACATGTGTTTAAGGTAAGTGAAAAAAATGTGAAAGAGGTTTTACATCAACTTAAATACATATAAATATCAAAAAATAGCTATACAAATATATATGTTAATATATACCTATGTGTATATATATGTACATATTGTTGAAAATACACATGCATCCTTCTTTTACATAATAATGGTGTGGGTATATATGCACTTTATGAAGGAAATGGGTAGAAATCTTTTCACGTTAACATGTACATAGCCAAATAAGTATTGAAGTCTTATGCTATATTAATCTGTATCTATTTACCTTTTCATTCAGTTTATGCTGTTGAATATTTTTTCTAGTTAAAATGAAAAGAATTCTACAAACTGTAATGATTATGTACTCTGAATTTCATCTCATACTACATAACATTATAAAATTTTTCATAATGTGAAATATTTCAAATTATAAACTAAATACTAGTCTTTATTAAATTGTGTTATTTCAAACATTCTAGAAGAAGTAAAATTTAAAAGATATGATTTCAAATGAAAACATAATTCCAAACAATATCTTCAAGAACAAACCAAATACAGTAACTAGCTGTGAAATGATAGATAAATACAATGTAAAAGTCATCTTTCATAGGCATTCCTGTGATTTACATCATTCACTTAAAAAATCAGAACATGATAAAGAAAATTCAAAACGCATAAGGCAAAAACAAGCCTACATATACTGACCTCAACTCGAGATGCAATCAGCGCTGGCTTTGGTAGAACTGATGTAACAGTGGTACCTTTTGCTTTCTTTATCAGTGAAAAAAAGGAATCAAAGAGATACTAGAAAAGAAATACAATCAACCAGTTAGAAGCTTCCAAATTCCTCAGGTTGCCAGGTAAAATACAGAGTACTAGTTAAATTGGAACTTCAGGTAAATAACAAATATGCGTTTTGTTAGCATGTTTCCAGGACATTATGTTTTTTAGTAAAAATTTTCCAATGCAATATATGTGATTTGTTATTGATTTTGGTTTAAGTTTTTGATTTTTGTTTTTTGTCAATAACTAAATATCTACTTTTTTACCATAAAACTTAGATCAAATAAATACTTCTAGCTGTTCCCTTGAAGTCCTAGAAAGAGGAAGATTTCAGCAGAAAATAGACATTTCGGATGCCTTTTGTGAATATCAAGTTTGCAGACCTTTAATTGTGTATCATTTTCTTCTAAATCAAATTGTAGTTAGATAAAAGAAATGAAAATGTATTACTTTACGTCCTAAAATTAGAAATGCTTTTTTAAGAATTTTCTCCCAGCTCTAAAGGTAATCTCTAAAGATTAATCTAGAACTTTACCAATGAGTTTTTTTCTGGTTTTTCAGTAGACATGATAAATTTCAACAAAGGTATTCTTTTTGCAATTATTTAGTAGGACAAAAAATAGGATTAAATCATCATGTATTTGATTACATAGCATAATCTGAATTGCTAATATGGGTAAACAATTTAAATTTTAAAAAATACTTAGCCTGTGTTAGATGAAATACATAACTAAATTTTTTTATGTGTTTCATCATGAGTAGGCAATGCCATACTGGTTTGGGCTATGAAGAACCAATATTTCTTAGTAATACTAAAACAAGAAGAAAATATAAATATCTGTAAAAGGCTATTTAGATTCAAAAGAGCAGAGTTTATGAAGGGAAAATTCTTATTCTCCTCTTCATTTTACCTAGATGTCTTTTCTGGGAGTTATCTACTGTCAACGAGGAACTATCAGCACTACTACTGGAGGTCCCTGGGTGTAACACAGGAAGAAACACACCACACTTCCCAAATTTTTCCAGGTGACACTGTGAACTTTTATTTCAGAAAGATCTGCTTGAACTGAGAGGTCACATTTAAAAGTAAAAATATTTAGATAAGGAACAAAACTCCTGTAAGCATTCCTTTTAGTCCTTTTCTTAAGCAATCTGAATGGCATGAATGTGCCGGCAGCCCTTTCTCTCCCCTCTTCCCTACCCCTCTTCTTTCTCCTGATGCTGTTTATTCTCCCTTAGTGGCTACACAACCAGTTGCCATAGGAATTTTTTTGAAATCACAGATGGGGGATTAAAATTTCATTTCAGTTATGAGAAGGAGAGAGCAAGAGGGAATTCATTTGCATAGTACAACAATTGTAAATTTCAAGACTAAATATATTTGAATGATAATGGGTTTCAATAAAAATAGCATCATAGCATTTCTTGGGTTTCTTAAGGGATTTTCCTCTTAAAAAAAAAGATTATAATTTACTCCATGATATTCATGAGGAAATTTTAATACAAAATGTGTGTTACCAAAGCACTCTTCTTGAGAATATTCTGCACCAAGATTATGTGGAATGATTATTTTCATTTCTTGAGTTTTTACAGAAATATGTATTTTTAAGGTCTCATCTTTCTGACATACCTCAGTGTCTGTTGGCCCTGGGCTGACCTCTGGGTGGAACTGCACAGCAAAAAAGGGTTTGCTTTCATGCATAATCCCCTACAGGAAGAAGAAACAGAAAGAAATTCCTTCTGTAACAACAAATGTCAAGTGTAGCCATGTATTACTCAGTAGACAATAAAGTTCAAATAAAGAAAGACTGAGTTAAATGCTTAATAACATTCTAAAAACTAACAGTACTATTAAGAACCATGATTGGAGCCTAAGAACTAACATATCAGAATTTTTGGTAAGAACAGGAAATGGACCGATAAAGACTCAAATGGATGTAATTCCCCATAATAATGGGGAATGGTCCATAGCTTTTTGGGCCCCTGTGGGCTTTGATCAACATAAACCTAAATTGTTCTATTCTCTCCCCCTCATAAATTATTTCTCTAAGTGTCTTCTCAAGAGTTGTTCCTGTGCTGAGTCCCAGAACTGAGCCTAGACAGATCTGGACTAATGGCCCTTTAACAATGAAAGTGTAAGATGATTGTTGATTAAGGAGGCAAACAGTGAATTATAATGAGTCAACTGAGAAAAAAATAAGAGAGAAATCATTTTTGGAAGAGTGGAGGACTATGAGAAATAATACATAAGAGTTCTTCCACACCCACACACCCCAAAATTCCACACAAACAGGAAACCAAATCTGTATAACAGAGAAATAAAAGCCTTGAATTTCTCACCGCCACCTGAACAGATGTACACAGAACACTTACCTCATTTGTTTGATCGTTGACATTCACAAAAAGTGGTTTCCAACCAGCAGGGAGGGCGTTGTCCAGAGCATAGCCATGATTCTGAGCAGTAATGAAAGCCTGCCTGTTTGTAATATTTAAAACAGGCTGATTCTGTCCTCTGGAGAGAAAAGAGGAAAAACAAAAGAGAAAAAAGGAAAGAGTATTACATGCATTAGTTATAAAGTAGTGAACAATAAAAGCCTCTTAAAATTCCAAAGTTTCAATTGCTTAGTGAAAATCACTTTGTGAGAAAAGTCACAGATTGCTAATCTCAATAATTTTAGCAACAAAAATCAATTCAGGGGGCTTTGTTGTGTGTTAAATATCAGGTCTATTAAACTCCTATAATCAGCTTTAGAAAAGTACTCATAACTAATAGAGTTTCTCACTAGAACAATAGGAACAGACAAATATAAGTGACTTATTTTAAGTAATATTAAAGCCAGAGGAAAGTTCTTGGGAAAAAATAAATAGATGACTATGCAAACCTAAATTACTTTGAATTATATTTTATGTGGAGGAGGGTGGGCTGTGAGGGAGGACCTGGCATTAAATAAATTAACATCATCTGAGGCAAAGAGATGAAACAAAGAGAATTTGAACATTTCTCTGTTCTTAAATCAACTAGCTTCTTAAAGTGTAATCAGTTCCCTGAAATCAAGCTCAAATCAGAACAGTTCCCCTTGGAATACCACTTGATTGAGTATTATAACCTCAATTTATGCCAAGGGAAGGAAAATAACCTTAAATTATGGCAAAGTTATCGTTAGAGAAGACTGCCTTTCAGAAATGTAATAAAAGTAGAATGAGGTAGTCAGATAAGTGTGAGCTATGTCATAGGATGGTTGCCTACCATGAAGAAATGGCTTATACATTTTCTAAGTCTTTCGTGTTTGGTTATCAAAAGTATTCTAGAGCTAGTTGGACCACAAAAAAGGATAACTGCCTTACCTGTTGGGCATGGGCATCTTGTAGGATTTGGCACCAGCAGCTAATCCTGTTATTAGATTTCCCGTACTAATTCCAAACAATGGCTCTTTTCGATCACTCTCCAAAACCTAAATCAGAGAAGATGTTTACTAATCTGGACATAGTTCCAAAAGATTTCACTTCCCACTGAAAGAATAAAAATGAAGCATCCTTCTTTTTCTTTCTTATTTAACAAAGTAAAGAAAATAGCAACTGAGTGAAAAGTTAGAATCTAAGGGACATGATTGATGAATTTAAAGCATTAAAATTCAATTCAATGTACTTGACATTCAGACTCAACTAAATTTAATTGAATGCCTCTTTGGAAACAGGAAGGTCTTTTAGGTTGCCACAAAGTGGTGAGGAACCTGAGTTATCATTTTGCAATTGTAAGGAAAGATACATGTGGAGATTAGGATCCAGCCCTTTTAACTAGAGGACACAGTCCTAAAGAAAAGTTCTGCTCCCTCTAGAATTATCTCCATGTTGGATTCGCTACAATAACTATGCCAAAATTGCCTCAAAGGTCACAAATACAAGTACTAATCAATTATGGCCCTCACCTCACACCGACACACAGTTCCCCAGGGTCCCTGTACCTTTTTCACATTCTGAATTAGTGGCTGTGCAAGAGTGGGGTTCCCAGGTCCTCCAGCAATCAGAAGTCCATCATACTCCATCTGGGTGAAGTCATAATTCCAGGGAACTAAATGCACTTCAGCTCCTCGCTGGAAAAGAAACAAAAAAATGGGCGTATAGCATTTTCTTTCAGCAATACATGATTTTTCTGGACATTCTCTTGACTAATCCTTCATTGTAGGAAAGGAAAACATTGTACACAACTTAAATTTTAAAATGTTAAGCAAAAAAGTTCTTTGCATAGCTAATTGGGTTCTATGTTATATAAATGGAGCCAATGGTCAATGAAAAGTGGAAGGGAAAGGCCACTGAAGTTTTGATCCTAAAAGGATAGGTAAACCACTTTTCTGCACTTCTTGAACAGTTTCAGTGCATTTGCATGGGTTCAGGGTACCCTCATCAGCTATGGGACAGAGTTGCAAACAAAGATAATTTAATTTAAATTCTGCAGAATTTAAGTTGACCCACCACTCAGCTTTTTCTTTTTTGCTTTTTTTGCTCTGATTAAATTTTAATGAACTTTATTTCCTAAAGTTTTCTCTTGTTATCTATGCTATTTATATTCTGAGGGGAAACTAGAGCTTTTTGTTGTAAAAGTATACAGGAAAGTATTTTTAAGGGTATCCCTAAGAAGCATTTTCTGAGACAAGGATTTGTGAAAAATAAGCTTATTTGAAAATTTTTCCAAGAAGTGCCAATAAGATAGAGAAGTGACTCTGCAGGACACTCGCAATGTGTCAACCAATAAAGTCTACATTATCAAGCAGCCACCACTGTGGACTCATTGAGTTTAAGTTCATTGGAGAAATCCAAAAGCTGTGCGAAGGATTTAGTGATTGCCTACCCATGGGACAAAAGAATTCTACATTGACTCTGGCGACTGACTGTGGGCTGCTCCAGGGAAATTTGTATACATTTCCTGACTGCTAGCAGGCTCCTTCCTACCAACCAAAGGTATGAGAGATGTTAAGAAGTCTGCAACGGGAAAATGGATGACATAAATTAAAATCGTAAGATGAGATTGGAACATGAGTAGGCCATATCTGCTACTGAAAACTCCATGCAAATTTTTATTAATAAAAATGACAAGAATTTGAAATCATCATATATTGCTGATATTGTCTAACAATAAGAAGGTGGATTAAAGAATACCTCTATATCCCGGGTAATCTGATGTTTGGTTTTGGTTTTTGTGGTGCTGAAGATCTAAACCAAGGCCTTCCACATATTAGACAAGCACTGTACCATTGAGTTATGCTGCCACCACTAATAATTTGGTGTTATAAAAGTGTATATATGTCTGAGAAAGACAGAGACAGAAACAGGGTGCCTCGAATATACATAGAGACAGAGACAGAAACTGGAAGGGGAAGGGAAATTTCAACAAAATAATATTTAAGAAAACGTTACAGTGGTTAAATTCTACTTCAATTTCAAGATTTTTAAAGTTAATCTTTCTTTGGTTGTCTAGAAGTTGATATAAAAGCAGTATGAATAATTTTTTTTTTACTATATCAGGGCATAAAGCCTGCAAACTTGTGGTCCATAATAAATATAGGCCAATGGAGGAGCTATAAGACAGACTCTGGTTTTGGTCATCTTTAAATCTCAATAAAAGTGACAGTGGCGTGTCTCAAAAGTCATTCGATAAGTGGTAGGAGCAGTCATCATTTTCTCCCATTTTTTGTGTTCCTTGAGGGTTTTTTTAAACATAGAAATCTGTATTTTTAACTTGAATAGAGATAAATATGTTGCTTTCTAGATCAAAGGCACCAAGAAGAGAAAAGATTCCTGACATTCTGAGAGAATTCACTAGTTTGAACATGAACAACAAATATTACTCCTGCCCTTGAGAAGGGACAAATTACTTACCTTTACTAGTAGGCGGATGACATTGTTTTTTATCCCACAGTCTACAGCTACCACTTTCGTGGGGTTTCCTTTACCGTACACCTTGACATCCTGCCATTTTAAAAAACAGAAAGTGAAAGGGAATTCACAGCTACAAGCCATACACCTATATTACAAATGCCACTGAAAACGCTTTGCACTTCCATTGGTTAATAAATTGATCATTAGCTACTTGAAAATGAGTGGGAGTTAACACTAAATTTGTAAGAAAGGCACAAGTGCCATAGACCCTATCTTTTTTATAAGAAAAAAGTATTTTACTCTTTTATATTCTCTTGATTGCTGTAATAATAAGGATTCCTAAGAAAGTGGTTGCTTCCATAGCTAACAACCAGCTTTCCCATGTTTTGCCTCATTAACAATGGAATTTATTGTCACCTCATCTTAGCACTAGATAGATGTAGTAATAGATACATAATGCTTTAAATACCACTTGATCCTCAAACGGTGATAAAGATCAGATGGGGTAGAGCTGAATCACTGTACATTAGGCTCGAGCAGTGAGGCTAAATGGATAAAATTAGTATGTGAACTAGAGGAATTGCTAAGCTAGTATAGGCCACTGATCCCTTTAGGTCACAGTGCAATCGTTTGCATTTAAATGGTAGATTTCATAAAAGGATCGAAGAACATATCATAATCACTATCTATGCCTTAAGCACTGCTCAGAGGCAGATCAATTTTCACAGACAGTTATGCAAGAAGCAGTATTGAAAGTCACGAAAGGAGAAAGCACAAAAACAGAAAGCCTAGAGGGCTGGCTGGCCACACTGCTTCTGGCTTCAAGGGTCAGTGAGCACATCTGAATTTAGGATGATTTTATAATTTACAAATCTTTTATATTAAAGGAGAAATCTGAATATTTAAAAGGGAATTTTACTCTAGCTGGAGTGTCTGGCTCTCCACAAAGTCTATACAGAATGTGATATCATAGTCCTCATACTTCATATAAAAAGAATGTGTCAATATTATTTTCCTCCTGCTGACTACATCAGAGAAAACTATCCCTAGTCTTTCCATGATCTTGGGAATTATTGTTGAATTGATCCATGAATGCTACAGGTAATCTTCTCATCCAATAATTTGCAAAGTATAGATTCATTCTTAACCTTAGGCTTCTGCTACAAAGTAAAGCAATATTACCATCTAGTTGTAGCTACATCAAATTACAATTAAAGACAATAAATAAGTTACAGCATTTCCAAGGCATATAATCAAATAGAAGTTCCATGGTATATGTAATCCCTAAGTTAAATACACCTTTTATAATTGCTATAATGAAGTTGTTTAAAATTATTTAACTGCATTGGCATTAATAAATAGCCAGTTTTTAACACTCAACTTGATTCAAAAGAGTTTAAAATGTAGTTATGCTCATTTTTGCTGGTCTCTACACAAACATATCACAGTTGTTGCTCAGCATAAGTGACTACTTTTAGAGCCTCCTTGGGTACCAAAATCCAGAGATGCTCAAACCTCTTAGATAAAATGGTGTAGTATTTTCAAAGAACCTCCAGTAGACTTTAAATCTCTAGATTGCTTACAATTCTTGATATAATGTAAATACTGTGTTAATAGTTGTTATATTATTTGGGGGCTAATGACAAGAAAAAAGTGTGCATGTTCAGTATAAACATAGAATTTTTGTTTGTTTTTTGGTCTGAAAATTTTTAGTATTTTCAATCATGGTTGGTTGAATCCACGGATATAGATCTTGCAGATACAGAGGATCAACTGTACACACTCTCCATAGAGAATGACAAAAGTTATGCCAGGCCTCACAGTCATGAAGGCATGAAGTTTCCTCAGTACTATCCAAGAGGAATACATCATGCACTGTTTTTCAATCTTGTTTGTCCATAGAATTTTCTAAGGTGAATTTCTCCAGGCCAGGCTTCTTCACATTTGGAAAATGCCACATTAACCTTCTAGTTGCTTGCACCTCTGCCCAATCACTTATGCTTTGCTCCAGCATGATGCTGAATGCATTCCCCACAACTTCCAGTGTTGCTGGTCAGCCACTGACAAGAAATCCTCCAGATCTATCCCCAGTCTATCTCCACTCATCATGGCCAAATCTGTGAACTAATATATGTGAGCCTTTCCATTCAGCCATATCAAACTACACATAACTCTTTTACCAAACCTGTTGCTTCACACTTGTATGGCTCTCACCACATGACATTCTTTCTGCCTGAAACATGGTTCTTATTCTCCAATTACATAACTATAACTATAGGCTCCCTGTGTCTCCTACTAAGACTAAAATTTCTGCAGTGCCTTGTCTGATGCACCTGTCCCATTTTGGTGCTGCTTGTACATGCCCCGTGGCATCCCATGCACATGAAAGGAGAGCATTTGTCACTGGATTCTGTAGGTGGTAATTTACTTGCTTGATTGTCCCACCAGATTATTATGCTTCGCAAGGACAGATACTATAGCTGAAGATTCTCACTCATACCTACACTGAATTTCAATCAAGACCAACAAACATCTTTCTAAAATGTACTCTATACTTTTTTGTAAATATACCCTAAACATATATCACTTTAGGGTGGCAAAATAATCATCATAAACACTAATTTTTAAAGTCAGTAATAATGTAATAAGTCACTAATGGGAAAGAATATTTCCTTTGCATAAAATGACCCTAAACTGATTACTGTGTCTGATTTCTATGACATTCCATTGGCTTTCTGGCAGGATATTAGCCCTGGTTTCTGATCACTGCATGCCTGCCTTTGGCAATTCAGTGCTCCTCTTATTTAATATTATTAAAGCCTTAACCTAAAGAATAAGAAAAAGATAGGGATGACTAAATAGTAATAACCAACCTCCAAATCAGGGCATGAAGGTTTCCATGTAAACCTGTAAGTAAAGGTTATTAACTTTGAATCCATTGATTTTATAATATGTATTTTAGCTGTTATCAGATCCATTTTCCACCTCAACTCTAGTGCTTCTAGAAAATAACATAGGCCTAAATAAAAATTTTGATATTACAGAAAAGGTAAATCCAAAGTTAATGAAACTAAAACTATAAAACATGAAGGAAAATCTCTCACCTTGGTTGAAACCTCAGCAATCAAATTCTGTTTATTTGGATCCACAAAATCCACAGACTGACCTTCAAACTCAATCTTCCCAAGCATGGTGCCCTATCAAATTTTTAAAAGTTAGACAGATAAAAGGAAGCATTGATGAAGGTGCTGACAGGATAATCTAACAGGAACTTTAAGCAGCTGCTCCATGATTTAGATATCTTTATAAATAGCCATAACTATGATCAGAAGATCTTCATCTTCTCAAGCTGGAAAATGAATTAATTTGCACATACACTTTGGGAAATACTCTAGGAAATATAATTAGTTCTTTCTGGGCAGAGGCTATGGACTAGTGTAGGCAAAGTCAAAAGGCATCATAATTCAGGTCACTCAGGCCCATCCTGGTACACATTGGAGTATTAATGTTCCCTTAGACTCCCTGGTGCATAGGACCTAAGGACATTTCATGGGAGATGTGGTAAAAATAATCCATTGGGGAGAAAATATGAAATGTAAAAACAGTGGAAACTGAAAAGAATGAAAACTTATTACACATTTTTATAATAATATTAGTTCACAAAAAATGGTGAAGTGTAACATTTCACCAATTTCTAGATTTTCAATAAAAATATGAACTGCTTTAGACATGTTGAGATCATAGTGTCCCCAAGGGCCTGAGCTTTAAAGAACATTCAATGCTCTGTGAAGTTTTCACAAATGAGTTCATTTTCCTTACATACTGATTCTTTGGAGAAATCACTTGGTGAATGAGGGTAGAAGAGGCCAACACACCATGGAAACATGATGCTTATTTTGGTGCTAAGAGTAAAAGTCTGGGAAAACTAACCAAAACCTCCCTGACCTCCATACTGCATTACTAAATTTCATGATAGTCTGTACTTGCTTTTTAAAAACCAACTCACATAATCCTCTGACTACATTTAGGATCCTTAATATTGATATTTGTTTCTTCACTTTTTCTTAAAGTGTGCGGAATTAAATACAATCTTACTTTTCAACCTATTATTACTAGAAGTAAAGGCTATAATATATATATTGTACTATGAACTAGCATCATTTATGAACAGATAAAATAGGCAGCACTGCTATTTCATCTGTGCTAATTTATTTGAGAAACTTTTTAAAAGCCAAACTGCCTATGATAAAAGGAGACTTTATCTTAACCCAACACATCATACAAAACATGTAGTGTGGTCTTGGAAAGAGTTTTTCCAAACCATTAGGTCTGAGTATATTTTATTCAACTTGTGATTCTGCAGCCTACATTGAATTCTCCAACTCTATTCCCTTCTTCTATTCTCATCTTAGAAGCCTCATCATTGTTTACTGCCCCCACACACTGTTAGGCTAAGAAAACATAAGAATCTATTTAAAATATATAATCTCACTGACATCTATTCCCAGGAAAATTATGGAAGATTTAATAAAGGTAGAAGTAAAGTAGAATGATTGTACAAACCCTCACTATCTTCCTTCTGATCAGATAGGTAGCCAAATTGTTACTTTCAAAGCCTGGTCTTTCTTTTTGCTTAGAGTCCCTGTGTCAATATAGGGTTCCTTTTGGTATCTTGAGGGAACTGGTTCCAAGACCCACCTGAAATATCAAAACCTGATGTTTCGGTTCCTTATATAAAAGGACACAGTATCTGCATATGACCTATGCAAATCCTCCTGTTTATTTTAAATCATCTCTAGATTACTTATAATACTTAAAAATGTAAGTGTTATGTAAATAGCTATTTATACTGTATTGTTTAGGGAATAAGGCAAGTCCCTGTAGGTTTGTACAAACACAATTTTTTCCAAACTTTTAGTTGCCTCTGTTAATGTGGAAGCCATGGATACAGAGGACCAATTATGTGTTGTAACAAGGAATCCACAACAGATTTTCTTGAAGAATCTGTTTCACATATGTACTTTCAATTTTTATCTTTAACTTTTTATGTAATAACATTGCATGAGAAAACTTGAGCTGAATTTGAAGAATTTAGTTAATATCAGTGAGGGAATGTTTCTAATTTGGAATATAAAGACATCATATAGAAAAAAGTGTCAACTTCTAGCAAGAAGAAAGCAGATGGCAATGAGATATTCTCAGAGGAGGGGTCAGATGTTGCAGCAACTAGGTAAGAAATCAAAAGATAACCTTTCTTTTCATCACCTTGGTCATTAATACAGTCTGAATAAAAATTATATAATTCAGATAACACATGCAACCTCACTTGGCACACTCGTAAAATACAACGCACTAATTTTGTGGATAATTCTTCCTAGAGAACTAAATAAGTAACAGCACCAATGCTGTACACTTTCTGATTGGCATCCTTCAGCAGATGGATATTCAAGTTAGTTAAAATTGCTATGCACTTGGTTACCTTCACCACTTGTTCTACTAAAGTCCTGTCACATGAGCTGAATTATGAATGTCTTGACTTGTTGGTGCAATCAACACATGGTGGGCACTCAATAAATTCCTGTCCGGTGAATTAATCTCAGGTCTATCTAGTTACAAGTATTCAATCCTGAGAATTACACTGCAAAGAGTACAGCGAAGTGACAGAGACCCAAAGAGAAGAATCTGGCAGGATTTGTTCTTTTACATGCTAATGGGTCCCTCAGGAACTGAGGGCAGAAGTATGTGAAGAAATGTAGATTTGGCTAAAGATGATGATCATACCCTATCCCGAATTATTTTCGCCAGCATTCTTGTATCCACGCCGTAAATTGCGGGAACCTACAAGAAAAAAAAAATCATTGTGACAGTGAAAATGGAGAAAATTAGATACAGCATATTGTTTTCGAGTTACAAACTTGGCCTCATCTATCTTCTTGAGCAGTAAATAATTTCCCCACTCCTTCTTTCCTCTGACCCAGGGTGACTGTGTTGTCAGAACACAGTAAATTGCTGCTCTGGTAGGGTAGGAGACTCTTAATATACAGGCCTTTCCTCAAAATAAAAAATGAGATATTCTGAAGATCATTCTGCTGCAATTTTGTTGCATTTAACCTAGGATATTAAATAAGTAATATTATATATAAATGTATTTCTTTTGAAACAATAGAATCTATAGGTATGTACATACATATATAGTGTTTGAAATATGTGTATAATTTTGTGTATAGGTTGTACGTACAATATATATGTTTTGAAATAACAGAATCAGTGAATTTCATAAGCAATATTTTACAAATCTATGGACTGAGTCAAATATTCCTGGCACACAGTAGGCACTCGGCACAGTTTTTTTCTGAAGGGCTCTGTCAAATGCTCATGTTGTACTAACACCTCCCCATCTTAATAAACCAGGCAACACTTCCATTGGTTTTAGTTTCTCTGACTGGGCTGGATAGAGACAGATGCAGTGCTATATATATAATGAAAGAACAATGAATTAGGAATCAGAAACACAGGCATTGGTTACTATCATAGACCCTCTTCTACTCTATGTGTCTGTGATTGTGGAAGATTAAAAGTCCATTTAAAAAACAAACAAGCCAGCCGGGGGTGAAGCTCACATTAAAGCCATTTCTCCCAACATGGAGAAGCTATAAAATGAGATGTCCTGAATATCCCAAAAGAAACATTTTTAAAAGTTTCCTGAATGACCATTATGGAAATTAGCTGTCTAGATAATGAAAATAAATCAGATAATGGCAGAACATATAATATAGATGACTTCTTCCTTTTCTTTATAAAAAAATGAAATTTCCTAGATCAAGACTTTTTGTTGCAAAAAGACAACACTTAGCCCTACTGTGTAGACACTCATTGGAGAGGCAGAGCTTTCTTGTAACCCTATTCCATCAATTACTGGTCCTGGCGAAGTTGAACAAAAAGCAGCTACAGTAACACTGGAGATGAAGCTAAATAAAGCCCTAGTTCATTAACATTAAGTACTTCCAACTTTCAAGCAAGGTGAAGCCTCTTATCTAATTAGAAGTTAATATCTTAAGTATGGAAAGTTTAATACAAGGTTTTATAATCTTTTTCCTATCTCACCTAACATGTATTTATCTAATTGTAAACTACTGTATGGATTGATTACATGACCTGCAGAGCCAGTAATTCTATACAGCTAGCACTAGAAACCATAAAGCCAGTTACATAACTCTTTCCTGGATAAAAGGGCAGGGAGGACTTAGGTTGCTCAAGAGAATAGAAAATTAAAACATTCCCTACCCCCATTCCCAGATGAGAAATACAACCAAGCATGTGTGAGTGCCACCTTGTGGATAAATTAAAACTATGTGGCTCTCTGTGTTTAAAGGATGAAGTCTGGACAGTTTGGCCTATTACAGCAAAACTAAAAACAAAAACAAACAAAACAACAAAACCCCCACAGAAATAGAAAGATCTCAAACTTCCCAAACTTCCTCATCTGTTCAGCCCCATTGAATCTCCATATACCTTTCCAACTGACTCTGGGTGCCCTCAGTTTTCTCACCTTTTCTTCATTTAGCCATTGCCCTAGACTCTTGGTAGCCAGCCAGTGGTTGTAGTCATTACTGTAATTTAACACCAGCAAACCTGCAACCTGGAAAGACGGACAGTCATTTCAAAGGAGCGGGTGCATAAATGTTATACCTCTCTTGTAACTCACCTTGAAGGTCAATTTGCATTAAAAAAGAAAAACTTTTTTACATCCACTGATATGCAATATAAAATTTTGAAAACATGAAAGAATGGTTAGCAATATCTTTATTTTTAAGTATGTAATTGTTTCCTTAACTGTCTATGGGGGCAGGTTGACCTGCATTACTGAATGCTGAGACTAAGCCAGCCTTTCTTCTTGGCACTCTGCACTTTTCTCCTATTGCATTTATTAATAATTTAATTCATAATTATTTATTTAATGCAAATAAAGAATAATATAATTTTCTTAATGTACATGTAAAATAAACAGATATTTGGGAGAAATTGTGAGAACTAGTGAGAGCTAAACTAGATGATGATCCAAGTCACTCCAAAATACAGTAGTGAAATAGTGGTCAATTTGGAATACACATTTTTGAATTATTTATATGTTTCATATTCCTAAACTTCATAATTAGAAAATCTTAGTGTTTTTACTTTTAGTCTGATATAGGAGCTACTTCATTTATTCCCTAAAGAGGAAAAGATTTGAAGGAAAATAACTGATGGAGAGTTGATTACTAAACCCCTTCTAAAATATGATTCTTTATCAGCTCTTACTGCATAGCTACTCTTTGGACTTTTAATAACATTTTTCCAAATTAAGATTAAGACATTAAAATCTAAAATGTTCTGAGAAATTAAACTCAAAATAATGTCAAGTTAAAGATTATTCTCATATACTTAGAAATGAGGTTGAGTACAGGAATTCCTAAAAACAAGTCATTTATATTCCTTCAAATTGAGATTGTTTAAATAATCACCCCTGGTACTACCTTAATTCCATCAGACTCCAAATATTTGCTAAGTCCCAGTTCATCCAGTGCAGAAGTGTCCGGCACTCCACCATTCCCAATGATAGGGTTGGCCATTGTGAGAATCTGTCCTCTGTAGGCAGGGTCAGTAAGAGCTTCCGGGTACCTGGGTAAACATGCCAAGCAATGAACACCAACCAAAAAAATGTATACAATTACAAAACTAAAATCTATATACAAACTCTGAATCTCTGAAATCTTGAAAAGTAAAGATGAGATGAAATCTAGGTCATTTTTATCTAAAAATATCAAAATGTATCCATGCTACAACTAATATGAAAAGAAACACTGATTCTTACATACTAAGGCATATTCTTACACAATTTTTATTCCTTTGTTTTTTTAGAAATGCTTGAATTCTTTTGAAATTCTCCTGTAGTACTTTAATTTTTTATAATATTGCTACCCTATTTAAAGTTTGCAGAAATTGTGAAGATTCCCATTGACTATTAGGTATCAGTGAATCCAAACTGATATTTACTGTTGAGAGCTGTCAGTTTCACCAAGACTTTAACTAAAAATTGAAAAGTAGTTTTTGATGTATTTTTAAGGTACTAACAAGTACCCTGATTATGTCAGTGAAAGCTAGAGGGGGTATATACTTATCAAAACTCAGTAAATATTTAAACAAGTGAGTTCATTTATGAAAGAGTAACTAAACAAAGTTTTTAAATATATTTTAATCTTAAAAAGAATATACAAATGTAGGGGTTATCATCAATTTAGAAGTACATCAGTCTCATAAAACTTGACCTGAATCATTTGTGACCTCTACATTAAAAGATTTCAAATAGCTCTTTTAAAATATTGATAAGTAATTAGGGACGAATGCAGAAGGAATGCATTTTAAAGTTGAGGAAATTATATCTACACCTATTCCACACACCGGGATATACTGCAACTGAATTTTTTTCTTCCTTCTTACATTTTGTATTCCTGCAGGCTGAGTTAAACCAAGTATTTCTTGTGAATTACTCCTGAAAGCAACTTTAGGTATGGAAGGGGACAGAATCTACAACCTCAAAACCAATAAAACTTAGCTCAGGCAATAGTCAACATTAATTCCTCAACTCCATCTAGACTAGCTCCTACCAGAACTAACTTTGTCAACAGAGCACTTAGTCTTTCAGGGATTTCTGCAATCCCTAGGGCGACCCAAACACTGGTATTTATCCACAGTCTCCACCCACTAATTTCTCTGATGCCTCTCACCTGTCAGGAACTGATAATTGTCAACCAAGGCTTATACACAATATAAATGTATTTCTTGAAGGGGAAAAACAAAATAACCTTCTTAATTATCAAGCATTTACTGAGCCGTGTGATGAACGAACGCTGCATTTCTCAATGGAAAATAGAATCTGTGGAGTAATTTTATAAATGAATGCCTTCTTCTACATCAAAAAAAAACTTTAATGAATTTGATTTTACTTGCTTCTTTCTTCCCATAAAAGAATTGACCATTCCCTTTAAACCTGTGCTTACAGTACCCTTCAGTAAATGAATAAATGCAGCTTCTCCCAAAGAACTGCAGTGTAGGAAGCAAATTAATCCATCAGGTCCTGTTTGACTTTTGTGATGTGACAAGATTTATTACCCATAATCTATCACTGAGAAGAAAACTCTAGTGCCCTCCATCATTCTGATCTATATTAAACAGTTGTTTGTTGGCAGGTATATTAACACAGCTAGTAATTAGTGCTGTCAAGAGCTTAAATAATGGCCTGGTGAAGCAAAACTTTGCAAACAGATTTCATACACTGTAATTTAATGTTCTCACTAGTGGAGCTAGTTTAAAAACCATCTAAGACTCTTCATTTCACACAGAGAGGCAAGAGTTTGGAAAAGAATATACATTAATAATATAATGGCAGTTGGGCCAAACAATGCCTTCTAGTTAACCCAATGCTCTCTTGCTTTCACAAGGCTAACTTGAATTTCCCTAAATAATTCATAAAATACATCATAGGTTATTTTATGGAATCTCTCACAGAAACTCCTTGGAAAATATCTAGTCATTTTTGTAAGACTCGTATCGTTTTAAATCCCCAGCTATAAACTACTGTCTAATCTACCCTCCTTACATTTTAAATAAAGAACACAAAACTCAGGAAGATTAATTCATGTTCTGAATATCACATCAGTTATCATTAGAATTAAAACCAGGCTAGGCACAGTGCTGCACACGTATAATCCCTGCTCCTCAGAAAGCTGAGCCATGATGGCACATTTGAGGCCAGTCTGGGCAACTTAGCAAGACTCTGTCTCAAAATAAAAAATAAAAAAGGTTGGTAATGTAACTCAGCACTAGAGTGCTTGCTCAGCATGCATGAAGTCTTAGTTTTAAAAAGCAAAAACCAAAAGCTGAGACCAGAACTTTGGCTTCTTGGTTCCCAGATGAATAAACATTTGTTGAGTAGGTAGAACCACCCATGTGATTTCTGTAGCAATCCTTATACTCATTACCATAACCACTCAATCGATCATAAATACTAAGTTGAGTCATGATCAATAATTATTAAAAATATTAGATCTGTGTGCTCACCCTCTCATTGATTATTTTTAAGGCAGTAAGCATATCTGTTGGTCCACCTTTCTTTTTTAGAGTCCAAGATTATATAAAATACTGAAGGGGGCCAGGAATTTAGCTCTGTGGCACCACACCTGCCTCACAAATGCAAGGTCCTGAGTTCAATTCCCAGTACAAAAAAAAATTGAAGGAGTTTCTTATCTTTTTATAGGATTAGATTATTTCATATTACAGGTACAAAGTTGCTTCTTAACTTTACTAAAAGAATGACACTGGCATGTGCTATCCGTTCTTTTCCCTGCTCCAATTTTCAGATCCATATCTCCTCTTCTAGAGGCAGATGGTAATCTCACTTAACCTGTGTCTTTACAGCATACGTTTCTATTATTAGATGGAACTCGGGACCTTGTGCTTGCAAGGCAGGCAGCGGAACCACTGAGCTAAATCCCTGGTCCCACAAGTTTCTAAAATGGATTTCATTCTTTTCCTTTTAGGGGACCACTAGAGCACCCAAGTTCTCATTATTTGAGTTAGTAGCACACTCAGGTCAAAATCTCTGTTCAGGGATGGCTGCAATAGGCTTGCACAGAGCACCATGCACAGGGCAATATATGGTCTGATGATGCAGTGATTTCACGCTCCCACTGGGAGTAAGATCAGCCAGTTATCCCTCTACAGAGCAAAAGAATAAAGCCTCGCAAGAGATACATTACTCACCCTCCCAGGCCAGTATTAAAAACCACTTCACCAGCAACCGAGGATGGATGGCCAAAAGAGTAGCCTTTCATCTTAGTTCCATCTTCAAGGACAATGTGTGCTGTCTGTGCCTAAAGAAACAGTTGTATGAATCTTAGTAGAATACAAAATACAACCCGCATGTGCGCATGTGCACGCATAGAGTTCCAAAGATAAAATACACATACATATTAAATAAATGGACAGTACAGTATATTTAATGAAATCATAATGCCCAAATTTGAGATTGTTCTTTTGCTAGTTGTCACTTTTCTTCAAAGCTATGGCTGTCATCACTGAGCACGTTTTGTTTTGCTTGAAAGAGGAAGTGAAGTATGTCGATACATTGCCTATTCTAAGTCTCCTCGTAGAGCTGTTGACAAGCCAGAAATACTTCAATTTAGCTGAAATGCTGTGGTCTATCTTTTCCTCCTTAGTATTCCCTAGCTGCACTCCAGTATGGCTTTAAGGGAAGTTCATGAGTTTGCAAAAGCATTGTGAATTGTGCCACACTGCTCATCCTTGCTCTGAGGTTTAGAGCCAGAAGAAAACTTCAAGATTATCTATCACACAGTGTTCCACATAGCTCTCGTGTTTGATGGAGTTGTGCAGGGGCAGCCCTCTTCCCTCCAGCATTATGGTTATAAAGAAGCTGAAGCCTTTTCACTCTGTTAATACTGATACAAAAGCAAGCACTATGGAACACTCTAAAAGCATATCATTATTTTACTTTTCTTCAGAGTTAATTATATTCATGTCTGGTTCCTGCTTTAGATTACCGGCATTCTGAATTTGATTACTTTGCGATGTTAATCTTTGAATCAAACTATAAAATTCTTGGCTAAGAAAAGGGACAGTTAGAGAAATACATTTAAAAAGCAGATTTTACCCTCTCCTCATAAATACTCTAAACTCTACTAGTGAAATAATTTAAATCTAACTCTCAATTTCCAAAGTTCAGAGGAGAGAAATATGTCTTAAAACACAACTTGGGAAGCAAAATCTAGACTTCGGAAGAAAGTCTACAGGGAAAACTAACTTAATCCTGGTTTCTAAAAAACAAACTATGAAGAAAAACATCTTTATAATAATTGAGGAAATCTTAATGATTGATGCTTGATTATATTAGATAAAAACTTGTGGGATTGATGATAATATTGTACTTTCATTTTTAGGAGTCCTTGTCTTTATAAAACTTATGCACTAGAATATTAAAGCATAAAACAATTTGATATCTGAGATTTACTTCAAATAACCTGGATCTAATGAGGTGGATATGAATATAAACAAAACCAGTTTGGCCATGAGTTGAACTTTTTGAAGGAAGAGAGATCATAATTGTTTCTGAAAGGTTAAATGAAGTTGTTAGAGACAGAGAGAGACACTGATCTCTACTTTCCTTCCCTTACAGTTTTAGGACTGGAGATATTTTGGGCAATCCCATTGTGTCTCGCCACCCTAACAACATTCTTACCACATATATACACTCCAACTTTATTAGATCACAAGTACTCAGTAAATGATTTCTAGGCCTTTTTCTACATTTTTCTAGCTTTATAACATAAACTTAGCTTTTCAAGAGTTAAAATGGAAAAAGTGCTTGATTTTTCTAGAATAATCTTCATTGCAGGAATATGATCCCTCTTTTGGAGCCAAATTACCCAAGCCACTGGCTATTAGAATGCTTAATCATCAGATGTTAATCATCAAAGTAAAAGAGTATTTTGATTATCATTCTGCCAATATACTATGCTCCTACATCTTGCTTAAGTGAGTGGGTACACATAGTATTACATTGACTCAGAAAATTATTTTACTGTTTCCTATTAAAATTGATTGACTGTATTTAACACATACTTCTGAACAGTAATTTTATTAGTTTTCTTTTAAATCAGAGGTCCAACGTGAATTTCAAGTTTGTATTTCTGAGAAAGATTGAAAAGAGTTCTGTACAGCACATTTTATATATGCATGTGTGTGTGTGTGTGTATGTGTGTTCATGGGCAGAATTTACCAAATGAATTCTGTCCTTTACTTGGCATATCCAATTGTCTTCAAAGTAAAGTTTTATCTACAGCCTTGGAACCAGAGTTTGAAATTCCAACCTTACACTATCTTTCAATAGTTATGCTTTGTCTTCACAGTCACTAAATTACAAAAAAGAATTTTGGAATTACTCAGCACAAAGGAAATCACAATAATTAATTTAATTTGAGAGGTGACAAGACTTCTCTGACATAGATTGGCTTATCACACAAGTCTGAATCCTGCTTTTGTGCCTAGAAAATCAACTTTGCATGTCATTTTTAATAGCATATTTTTCTTATTCTATATTTTGCTTCAATTTGTCAATTTTTGTCTAATTATAATTCAAGAGAGTGGTTAGCTATTTTAGGATGTAAGAGTGACAGCATTTGGTGAATTCTGAAGATTATTATAAGCTATTCTGTGACTTTGATTCTCAATAGGGATGTGTTTACTGGAAAAACTCTCCAGGTAACTCTGACATGTATCACTAGATGAAACCTTTGGTCCAAGTAATGAAAATTCACTCCCAAAAAATTATTTTTTACCGGAAACATTATTTTCTGCTCTTGAGGAATACTTGTGTAGCTGGGAATTTAGCTCTGTGGTTCCACCACCTGCCTCACAAGTGCAAGGACCCGAGTTCAATCCCCAGCACCCAAAAAAAAGGAATACTTGTGTAACTGAAATGCTTTCACAAAATGGAAGCAAAAACACTTTCTTAAATAATATGTAACTTTGATGGAATCTAAAATAACTGTACTTATTTAGCAAACCTTGGGTGTAAACTGAAAATTTCAATTATTTTCTATATGCCAGTTTATCTGCTCTCCCCTGATCCATGCCTGTCTAAAATATCATCTTTGTTTACATTTTCTCTTGCTTTTCTCTATCCTCTCCTCATCTAAGAATTTCAAATTATCTGAGTTAGACCCTGTTTAAATATTTTAAAGAAAGGTAAAAATTAACACAAGCAAATCCAACTCTTGCTAGCCTGTTTCTAAAATTCTATTTGGTATTTTTCTTCTTCTCTCTTTGGGACTAGTTTTCTACTTTTCTTTTCTTTTTCTAAAGATATATTTCAGGAGACATTTACTGCTGCCTGAAATAGTCCCTGAGATTGTGTTCAATATGTCTTTTGCTCCTTTAATTATATTTTTTGTTCTTTTTGGCAGTTTTTATAGATATCCCAATTCTCTTTCCCACTACACATTATATTGTTACAAGGCTTCTGTTTATTGCCTACAGTACCCTTTATATTCTTCTAAACTACTCTGGTCTCCAATGAGTTTAAAATGATGAGTACCAATTGACTTATCTATGAATTGAGGGAGGAACTCTGAACAAAGAGCCATTATTTAGAATCCCCTTTTCTAGCTAACAGTTCCCCAAATGCTATTTCATTCCAGTGAGTCCAAAAGAAATCACCCTATTACCACCATAAGATACTTTAGTAGCCTCAGTCCTAGTAGACAGAAGTGCATAGCCTAGGAATTAGACTGTAATATTAAATTAAAATGCAAGTGCCTACTGTGCTGTGAGAGTTCTTTGGTATTCTGAAAGCTGAAAGTGCAAAAGCAACTTTAATGAAGGGAAAGATGTACAGTTGTAGACTGACAGATATGGTAAGCAAATGATTATATGAATATGAGTTCTACAAAACAAAGAGACTTATCATGACATGGCTCCTCTGTGTCTATATTGGCATTATGACAATGTAGATATTCAAGTCTCAAATATCACCTAGATCCTACCATGTGCTAACTACCTTGCTAGGCTCTGGTGATAAATGGATGAATTTCCCTGGTGCCTCATTTAGTAAAAGAGCTAGATATGAACAGAGATTATAAAATAGATAAAACCTGAAAAAGAATGTCACCAAAAAACCTGGAAATACAAAGACAAATAAAATTCATCCTTTTCATTGAGGATTTTATCTTTTATTTTCTGTTGATGCTTGGGATAACAAAAAATAAAATTTTTGATAAAGACACTTCTTGTCAAATTTCAAATTTATAGTCTAAAATGTAAAGATTCTTTCAAGTCTTCACTCAAATATGATTTTCTTGACAAGCCCTATTTAAAATTACAATACACTCCCCACTCCAGTAGCCTGCCTCCTTTGGTTTGTTTTTCCTTCATAGTTAATAGTTTAGTTCAGTTATTCTGAGTAGGCAGTTAGTGCAGTCTAACAATAGGGCCAGATTAAAAAAAGAATTGATTAACCAGCTGGTGAAGCTTAGAAATGTAAGAGAAAGAGTAAGAACAAAGGATAAAAGGTTAGGGTAAAATAGAAGAGTTCTCTTCTTTCCAGGAGAAGACCCTTATCCAGCATACCCTAAGTTAGCAAACAGCTCTAAAAGACCCTACGTCCCTCAAAACCCAGATTTCACCTGTACCTTGGACGTCCACTGGATCTCGGACCTCGAAAAGTGACAGAAATGCAATAAACATTAGAAATGCAGGTCTCTTTTGAACTCTTAAACTCATTCCCTTTGAAACAAACCCCTTCCTGTCCTCTGCTTATAAGAGCAGGTCAGGGACCAGTTTGGATTTCTGTTCAGAACACTGTCGTGATACACATATATCAAGAGCTATTTCTTACTGTTTCCTGTAAAACTCTCTTAGCTTCCTCCTTTTGGTTTGCAACTTCATTCTTTGTCTTTATGCAGCCACAATCTCAGTTTGTAGAGAATTAACAGTTTCCCCAGCACCCGGAAGGAAGCTCCCCGCCTCCATCCCAGGCTCCTAGGGCAGAGAAGGTGAGCTGCGTGGGTGCCAGAAGCACACACACCCCCGTGGAAATGAGAAGACACGTAAACAAGTCTCAAAAACAGACTTTTGGATCACCTACAGCAACCCCAAAGGGAAATGAGACGGAACAATCTGATACTCAACCACCTGGACTCTCTGATCTGGCAACAAAAGAGGATCTGGGAAAAATGAAATCAGAAATAATTACTCAGATAACAGCAAAGATTTTGTTCATGGTGCAAGACAT